GGCGGCGCGCACGAGTTATTGTTGTTGCGCGTGCGCGGCTGCACGCGCCGCAGCGCGATGGGCGTGCTGGGCCGCTCGGGGTCCATGCCGGCCAGCTTGTAGCCGAAGCGCTTGTAGGCCGCTTCCCGGACAGCGGGCGCGCCTGCCCGCGCTTTCTGGCTGCCCCAAAGCCGTGGGGTGGGCTTCTTCTCGGACAGGGTCTTCCTGAGAAAGCGGGCCAGCGAGGTGGCCGGTCGTGCCGGAGGGCGGCCGAGCTCGGGCCGCAGCCCCAGCTCGCGGTGGGCCCCGAAGGCCGACAGGGCACGCTGCAGGTTGCGCTGGCGTGGCGAGAGGAAGCGCCAGTAGAGGTGGTCGTAGGGCGCCCCCGGGGGCAGCTCGTCCTCCTCCTCGTCCTCCGCGTCCCCAAAGGGCAGTGGGATGTCCAGGGAGGGCGGGAGGGGCACCTCCAACTTCTCCTTCCCAAACAGCTTCACCTGGGGCCGCGGGAAGAGCCGGAACTTGCGGATGAGGGACAGCTTGGACCTGGCGGGCTTGTCCATGCCTTGCTGCTCAAAGAAGGCGGCGCTGGGCAGGCGGAAGGAGGTCCTCTGCCGCTCTCCCGCCGCCTCCTCGGGCTCCTCCAGCTCGGCGATGTCGTCCATGGGGTGGGCGTACGGGTTGTGGGGAGAGGTCAGGGGTGGCGGCGCCCAGGGGTACAGGAAGGCCTGCTCCTCCGCCGGGTACAGGTAGGGCGCCTCGGGCGGGTAGATGGCCCCGGCCGCGGCGCCGCCGTAGGCGCCTTCGGCGTAGGGCGCGCCGTATGGGAGGCCGTAGGGCATCCCGTAGGCATCGAAGTAGGGCACCTCGTAGGGCACGCCGTAAGGCAGGTCGTCGTAGGGTGGGTATGGCGTGTCGTAAAGCGCGTAAGGGTCCAGGTAGCGGCTGGCCGGGTAAGCCTCACCCTCGTACCCGTCGTAGTAGCTGTAGGGCGAGGCGTACCCCAGCGGGGAGGTGTACCCCGACGGGGGCGCGTAGGGGGGCTGGTAGTCGTCGTAGCCGTAGCCATAGCCGTAGCCGAAGGGGTACGGTGGATAGAAGTCCCCGTAATAGGCCGCAGCGTCGTAGTCATAGGGGTCCTCCGGCGGGTATCCGTAGTAGGGGTCACTACCGTAGGGGGGCCAGGCGGGGCCGTAGGGGCCGTGGGCAGCCAGATAGGGCTCCCGCGCCTCGTACTGGTAGAGCGACTGCTGGTCGTAGTAGTCGTCTCCCTCGCGGTAGTAGTCGTAGTACTCGCCCAGGTCCTGGAAGCCCTCGAGGCCGTAGAGCGACCTGCGCGAGCCCGCGGGCCCAAAGGAGGCCTCGTCCTCGAAGGGCACGAAGCCCACGGCGTCGCCGGACTCGTAGATGCTGCGGCTGCGCGGGAAGCGGCGCAGGCGGCCTCCGTGGCGCAGGATCTCGGCGCCCGAGGGGAAGGCCAGCTTGCGGGAGCCCCGCGAGCCTGAGCGGTTGAGCCAGGCGTCGACCGCGGCCCGCTCGCTGCCAGCCTCCTCGGCCTTCTTGAGGAGGAACTTCTTGGTAAGCCAGTTGATGGCCGTGGAGGCCTTGCTGAGCGACCGGGCGCGCGGCCGCAGCCGGCCGTAGCCGCGGCGGCCGGGGAAGCGGATGACCATGAACGACGGCTTCTTGCCCTTCATGGCACGCTTCTTCTTACCCATGCGCATCTGCGTCATGAGCTTCGACGTGGACTGCAGCACGGTGCGTGCCTTCTTCTTGCGTTTGGTCTTCTGCGGGCCCGTGTGGAGACCCCAGAAGAAAGCCGACGCGCTCCGGAACTGCCCCTTCTTGGAGATCTTGGGCGTGCGGTCCCGGAAGCCCATGAACAGGCGGGACGTCCCCTTCAAGCTCCGTTTGGGCTTCTCGGGCTCCGCGCCCTTCTTGCCCTTCTTCCCTTTCTTGGCTTTCTTCTCGTCTTCTTCATCCTTCGCCATGGTGGCTGTGCGCCCCGCACAGGGCCGAGGTCACAGGCTCGGGCCGGAAGACTTTGAGAAGCGCGCAGTCTCCTGCCCACGACTGGACACGAGGCCTCCGCAGACACAACAGCGGGGACCTGCTACCTCCGGAGTGGCGCAGCCGACACTGCCCGGGGCTGCTACGGAAAGGCACACCCGTTTGGCGGGGGCTGGGATTTCTGGGGGCAAATCCATAATTCATCTCCTCCCAAGGTGGACTTGGGTTTCACCTTCAAGCAGTGGTGGAAGGTGTGGTGGTATTGTTTACCAGGAACAGGGACACCTGACCCAGGCCCGCCATGGGGCAGGCGCTCTGGCCTGAGGGTCCCTCCTGGTGGCAGTGGTGGCCTGCCCACATGTGCCGGGACAGTCATGTGCATGAAGTGGTTCAAACACTGAAGTCAACAGAGCTTGCACCCGCCCTACCACTGGGGAAGATGCTGGGCCCGGTGAGGGAAAGCCACCGGCCCCAGCCACCTGCATGTCTGGCTTGGGCTGCAGGGGAGCCCAAGGCTCCTGAGTCCCAGCCTGGATGCTCAAAGCAGCCCAGTGGCCTTGGAGGGAAGTGTTCAACCCTCCAGGTCTTGGGCCCCGGGAAAGGGGAGTGGGCAGGCGGGCTACAGTCCATGTAACTGGAGCTGGCCCGCTCACCGGAATGTGAATAATGCATTGAGGAGGACTGGGCTGAATTAAGCTAACAAATACACCTAACATTTACAAAGACCAACCCAAGACTGGGAGGAAAGGAACAGGAGCCCAGGCAGAGAAACCCCTCTCCAGGAGCCCAGAGGATGGCACGGCCCCACTGCTGGGTCTACACTGCCCTTCCCCTGCGCCAGGAAATGGAGGCAGAGAGGGTCAGAGGCTTCTGGGAAGGACAGGACTGGTCCTTCTGGCACAGTGTCCTCTCTCACAATACTCTTACCTGCCCCAGGTTGGGGGTCCCTGGCCCCAGGGTTATCAACCATCACAAAGTAGCCACCATCCCCTCTGGGTTCATCCTTTGCCCTGACACTGATTTGAGACTAGAGCCCCGAGGGCATACTTGGCCTTGAGGGGGCTGGCGGGTAGAGCCCTGCTGTGTGGACCTTGCAGTGGGCCTTCTGTTGTCTTGGCTGCTGGTGGTGCCTGAGTCAGCTGCCTTGTGTACTTTGGTCAGGGGACCCATGCCCACCTTCCCCAGCCAACGGTCTCATTTCTGGGGCCCAGACCTTGGAGAGCATATTCCCCCAAAGGTCATCCAGGCAGTCCCTTCTATGGCTGGTGTGGGGTCCCGCCTCCCACTCTGGGCCTGCAGCCTCGGGGGCCAGCAGAATGGGTTTCTGGGCGCAAATTGTTTTTTGTGTTCATTAAGTATATCTTGTATGCTCACCCATTGGCATGGAGTCGACGCTGACTCAGAACTGCTCTTTAGTGTCCAAGACCACAAATCATTATGAGATCAGACCGCCACATCCTTCTCCCGCAGAGCGGTTGGTGGGTTTGAACCAGAACTTCCAACCTTGCGGTTAGCAGCGTGCAATGCTTACCCCGCAATGGCGGTGGTCAGCAACAGACCTCTTCCTAGTATCACAGCATAGACAGAGGACGGTCAGTGGAAAACTGCTGAGGGGATGCAGAGGCCAAGGCACCATTGTAGGCCCCTGGGGGGACATTCATGAGGGGATGGCGTTCATTAAACACAGGAGACAACAGCGCCCTGGCAGTTGTAATGGTGTGTGCAAAGGCCAAGTGGGAAGAGGCGAAGGGAAGTTGTAAGACTGGAGTAGGGTGGTGAGGGCAGGGAACCGACCTGTGGTGCCCATTAAGGCTGGGACAGGAGTTTGGCCTCTCAAGAAGTGGAGAGTCATTGCAGGGTTTGAAGAAGGCAGCAGTCACCAGATTGGTGAGTTGGAAATAACAAAAATAACCAACACTATCAAGTGTTCGCTGCATGCCAGGTTGGTACTAGATTGGTTTCTTCTCATAGCACCTAAGGCAGGGGTGGTGATTCCCAGTTTATAAGTCAGGGCTGTCTTGAATGGTTGGATTCTACACCACGATGCCTGTGTTCCCAACTACTGAACCCGTATTGGACTATTCAGCCCCTACCCCTTGGGAAGAAGGGACCATCACCAGGCCCATTTTACAGATGAGGAAGCTGGGGTTCCATAGTGCCCATAACATCACTGATCAGAAAGTGGCCTCACAAGGCTCTTGTGGGCCGTTGTGTAGAGGACGGGAGAAAGGTGCCAAATGGAGGTGAGGAGAGGGGCCAGGCTAACTGGATACAGCAGGACACTCCTGAAGTGAAATGGGAGGACCGGTGAGGGGCTGGTAGCCGAGGGCGAGGGTGGAGCTGGGATTGACACAGCTCAAAGACGGAGTGAATGACCCACTGAGGTAAGGGGTAAGGTGGTGGGAAGGTGACACGTTCAGCCTGGGACACGGTGGGCTCGGAGAGACTGGGACCGTCAAGTGCAGATTAAGGGGGTTGTTGAGACCGACAGGCCTGGAACTTGGATAGGGTGTGAGCAGCCACAGACCAAGGTCCGAGGGGCCCTGCTTTTAATCCCGCAAGGTGGGGGCAGCCCCTTAGGAGCCATCTTGCCAACTGAACGTGGGGTAGACAAGGCTGCTCAGTTACCAACAGAGAATAGGGAGGGAGGGAGGCCTCGGCAGGAGTGCTGGCTGGTCTGTTGGGGGTGATGGGTGAGGGAAGGTGACCGCCAGGGGCTTTGAGTTAGCTTGAGTGGGAAAGGCTTGTATTGGCAGGTGAATACCACCAATCAGAAGGGGGAGAGAGCGGTCACCTGTGGTGGGAAGAACCCACCCCTGAGGAGGGGCCCAGCCACAGCATCCTCCATCTTGGAAGAAGGGGGTGACATGGGGGTGGGGCCTTTGGAGAGGTTTTCTAGTTGGGCCTCCACCTGTGGCAAGGTAGGTGGTGTGGGGCTTGAGGGGACCAGGTGGGAGGAGCTGCTGGGGGGCGAGGGTGTCCCTCAGTATCACTCGAGTAGGTGCGGGCTGGGTCTGACGGGCTTACGGTGACAAAGGAGATGAGGACGGTGGGATGAAGTGGGAAGGATGTGTGGCGAAGCCTGCACACAGGAACACATGCTCAACTCCCGGCTCCTTGGCTCTTCAGGCCACCAACATTGCTGGTGGATGGCCTGTGGGGGGCAGTCTATCAGCCAGGGCTCTCTGCAACCCTGCAGTGTGGGATCCTTGAGTAAGGAGATATTGGTGACCTCCGCAGGACAGCTAGGCTTTGAGAGAGGTCCGCGCTTCCCTCCACAGAAGGGTCTCGGAAGCCCATTAGTGAAGGGTGACCAGAAGAGCCAACGCCTGAGCCTCCAAGTTCGCCCTGGAGGGGCAAGATCTGGCCTTGGACTTCCCCAGTACTGGAAGTTCCACACCCTCCAGCGATAGCCTCCTCCCACAGCACGTTGACTTCATACCAACCTACACAGCCCACGGATACACACACACATGCACACACACGCTGGTGCAGGAACCCATAAGCCCAGTCCAGGTAAGGGGCACAAGTAGCTGGGGCCTCGGATGCTGTCTGCCACGAGCCAGACTTTGGACCTGGTTCATCTCCCAGCCTAGTCTGAGATCTGGATTCACCCAGTAACTGAACCAAGGGCCTTCCAAGCTCGCTGAGTTCCAAGGGCCCGTGTGTAAGGCTGGAGAGGAAGAGGCTCACACAGGGACCTTCCCCTGCAGGCCTGGTGGGGCAGGAGAGGGGCCCTGCCGAAGTTACCAGTCTTGATAGCCCTGTCTGCAAGGGTGGGCTACAGACTTTGTACCCAAGAGGCCTGGCAGTGAGTTAAGCACAGGCCCCAGCTCTGCCACCTCTTCCCTGATCCAACTAGGCAGCCTTTTTAGGACCAAGCACCCAGGGCCGGGCTGCTCTTACCTGGCTCTCGAGGCCTGCTCCTTGCCTGCATGCCGGTACCAGAGGGCCCGAGGACTGGCCCTGGGAGCACATCGGCCCAGCAGAGCAGCTCCGCGTCGCAGGCGCAGAGGCCCAGCCCACCACGCCGACCGCCTGGGGCCCCATGTATATTTAATGATGCTATTATTCCTGTTTTGTCTCCAGAAAGGAGCTTCAACAGCTGACAGGGAAGCTGGAAATGGCTTGGATGGCTGGGGGCCTGCTCCACGCTGCAGGGCTGGCCAGGGGCCCCAAGGAGCTCTCCATTCCCAGCTCCCAAAGCCCATTACCACTGGCCCCTCAGAGGGTCTCTCAGGAAGCCTGCCCTGCCACTTGTTGGGCTCAAAGGCTCCGATCCACCCCGAGTTCTACCCTGGAGGCAGGAGAGGCAGCCCAGTGTACCCCTGGCTTAGTCTGTGCTGGCACCATGCCAACTCCCAACTGTGGGACGGTCAGGGAATGGACCGCACCACCTTGTTTGCGGAGGCGCTTCCTTGCAGCACCTGGCCTCCCGAAGTGCTGGCCTCAGTTTGCAACCTGCCACTGGAGACCAGTCCCCTGGGGTTTCTGTCCCATACTCCCGTCACTTCAGGCTCTGGTCTGCCACCATGGGCCCAGAGCACACCTGCTCATCCCGCCAGCAAGGCCACCGATCCAGAGGCACTAGCCTTTCCCCTCAGTCTGGACAGGAGTCAGTCATCCTTTATTTCAGGGTAGGGGTGGGGAATCAGAAGGGGCAAACACAGAACCCAAACTCGACAGCTGCTGTGCTCCTGGGCCAGTCCTCGGCCCTGCGTCACCACGTGAAGAGAGGAAGCAGGCCATGAGCGAGGGGGAGGCAGCCTGCCCTGGGTCCTGTCTTCCACTGGAGGCCTAGGCCACAGGAGGGTAAGGGGGCTCCGGGTGCAAGGTAAGGGTGGGGGCTGGCCTGGAGGAGCCCAGAGGGGAGGCACTTCAGGACACCTCTCAGCCAGGGAGGGTGTGAGTCAGACCTTCAAAGCCACAGCCCTGCCCTGGCTTCTACTTGGGCAGTCCCGTGGAGGCGGGGGTCTTCAAGGGGTCTGGTCCTGGGAAGCCCCCACACCCTGAAGCCAGAGAAGCTGACAGGAATGAGGAAGGAAGTACCTACAGTAGCAACCCATTTCCAGGGACCCAGCCCCCTAGCCCGAGCGTCCGAATTAGGGCCAGTGCATGGGGAGACAGGACAAGAGGGCAGCTTGCTCCCTTAGTGCCCAAGGCAGGCATGCGGTTGGGAACAAGCCCAGGGCTGCCTCGTGTGACTGTCAGTCTCAGGAAAAGTCAAGCCAAGTCCAAGGCCTCCACTCTTCTGTCCCATTGTCAGTCACTGGAAACTTCTGGAAACAGCAGAGACTGAGGCCCCTCCTGGGATGTGTTTATTTGCATTTTCTTGTTTGGGCGCTGGTATCCCAAGGGTGGGCCTCCCTTGGGAGATGGGGGGACACCGC